GTTTATGTTTTTTCCTAAAGAAATGGAGGAAAGTTGTACCTAAAGCACTTAGTACAGTGCCTGACATATAAAGCAGTCAACTCATTTCTAAAATTTTATAGTAGGGGCTGGGAAGGTGGCTCAGTGGTAGAGCGCTTGCCTTGCATGCCTGAGACCCTGGGTTCGATTCCTCAGCACCACATAAGCAAAAAGAAAAAAGCCGGAAATGGTGCTGAGGCTCAAGTGGTAGAGTGCTAGCCTTGAGCTGAAGAGCTGAGGGACAGTGCGCAAGCCCAGAGTTCAGGCCCCACGACCAGGCCCAAAAAAAATAAATAAAAATAAAAAAATAAAATTTTATAGTAGTTTGAGATTTAGAGAATACTTATTAAGATAACAGAGACATACACTGTATATCCTTCACCTGGCTTTCTGATATTAACATCTTATATAATTATGCCATATTTATCAAAGGAGTTAATATTGGTTTGACACTATTAATAAAGCATCAGCTTTATTCCGATTTCAGTGGTTTTTCCACTTAGTTCTTTCGGCTGTTCCAGAATACCATGTTGCATGTAAGCCAGTATGTTTTCAGTCTCTCATCAATTCATTTACCATGCTGAGCACACTGCCAACTTTTTATTCTGGGTAGCAAATGACTCTAGGACCCTCTGCACTATATGCTATGATTTAAATCAACCTAACATTATTATTATTATTTCTTCTTCTCCTCCTCCTCCTCCTCTTCCTCCTCCTCCACTTCCTCCTCCTCCTTCTTCATCACCATCATCGTCGTTGTCATCATCATCATCATTATTTTTTGGCCAATCCTGGAGCTTGAACTCAGTCCTGAATGTTGTCCCTTCGTTTTTCACTGAAGGTGAGTGTTCTACCATGAACCACAGTTCCACTTCTGGCTCCTGGTGGTTAATTGGAGATAAGAATCTAATAGACTTTCCTTCCCAGGCTGGCTTTAAACCTTGATCCTCAGATCTCAACCTCCCGAGTAGTTGGGATTACAGGCATGAGCTAAAGACACTTGGCCTTTTTTTTTTGAGTGAACTTGGGTCTCTTGAATTTTGACCATTCACTCTAACACTGAGCTATACTCTTAGACACTACAATTACCTTTTTTGTTGTTGTTGTTTTTGTCAGTGTTCTGGTCCAGGGACTTGAACTCTGGGTCTGGGTGCTATTCCTGAGCTTCTTTTGCTCAAGGCAAGTGCTCTACCACTTGAGACACAGTGCCACTCTGTCTTTTTTGAGTAGTTTTATTGGAGCTAACTCAGAGTTTCCTGCTCAGGCTGGCTTCAAACCACAACCCTCAGATCTCAGCCTCCTGAATAACTAGGATTACAGCATGAGCCACCTGCACCCAGTTTACAGTTGTCAATTTTGAAAATACTGTGTAAAACACTTTCTATGCCCCCAGCTCAATAGTTTTCCATGGTGTTATTATCCTATGTTATAGACTGGGAAACTGGAGTATAGATAGATTAACTCAGGTCTCATGTCTGGTAAGGGTCATAGGTAAAATTTGAACCAAGGAGTTTGGCTCCATTGCCTTGAATAAAGCACTGTTTTCCTTTACAAGGTTGTCCCAGAGTGAGTCATTGACCCAGACTTTCCCATTAGTGTGGCAAGAAGGAAAGCATTCTTGGGAGGTGCTGGCTTGGAGCTCACCTCTTATTTCCTCAGGACGTTGGGGGCAAGGACTTGACTTTCTTGCTGTGTGCCACTTAAGGCTTCCCTCTTTCTTCCCCCTGAAGCTCATGACTCTGAGCCTAATCCACACAGCCAAAAGAGGTGCTGAAATCCAAGCCCCAGGCACAGACTGGGAATCTATCCCAGCCTCTAGGACATCCTGCTCCAGCTGTCAGGGGCAGGCTGCCACATGAGAGACCAGGGTGATAATTTAGAGACTGGCCTATGAAGTCACTATTTTGGGTCTTGCTGATGGTGCAGGTGCAAGAAATAGCAACAAAGACTGAACTATCATGCTAGGGGTGAGAATCCTGGAGAACTGGTGAACAGGTTGGGCTTCTGAGCTAGGCCAGGCTTTGTCTGCTCTGGAGATTGTAGATCCCACCAACCCAAGGATGAATTGAGACCAGCTTTCTATCCCAAGAAGAGCAGAGGCCCTATGTGGTTGGGCCTGGGACTTTGATAAAGCTGGGCACAGAAGCACCAGCCTTCTGTCATTTTCAGCTAGGACATATGCACACCCTCTATAGAACAACATATAGAACATCCAAAGCAGCCAACAGCCAGTCTCAGCTGGTTGAGATTGGGACTTGGTGTCCCAGACAGGTAAGCAGAAGAGCTGGCTGAGCAGTAGGTGCCAGAACCCAGAGATGCTGGACCTTTGCAAGGGGGATGAGGGAAAGTTCACATCATAGCCCTTTCTCATATCCTCTGAGCCTCAGTTTGAAAAATGGGGACATTAACCTGTCCCCATATGTAGATGATAAATTGCAAAAGGGGTGAAAGGAAGCTAAAACCCTGCCTGTCACCAACTTGTCCCACCTAGGTACTCTGATCTGGGGTTATGTCTACTTGGAAAGAAAGGACATATTTTTCTTTACTAAGCTACTAGTTGACCAGGGCTGCTTATGCCTGAAAATTTGGTTTGTTCACAGGAGACACCTATTCCAAATATACACAGAGGGAGGGTACTTGTTTTTTCAGGAACAGAAGAGATGGGGCAAAACTCCTTATGCACCTTGGGGAGGACGACAGAGGTGCCACCAGCACAGTTCCACAGGCAAGGCAAGACAGTGAAGTGCATTCTGGGAACTGCACTATTTCTTTTTTCTTCTTTTCTTTCTTCCTCTCTCTTCTTTCTTTCTTTCTTTTTTTTTTGGTCCGGTCGTGGGGCCTGAACTCTGAGCCTGGGCACTGTCCCTCAGCTCTTCAGCTCAAGGCTAGCGTTCTACCAGTTGAGCCACAGCGCCACTTCCGGCTTTTTCTTTTTGCTTATGTGGTGCTGAGGAATCGAACCCAGGGCCTCAGGCATGCAAGGCAAGCGCTCTACCACTGAGCCACCTTCCCATCCCCTTCTTTCTCTCTTTGTGCTGGTACTCAGATTTGAACTCAGGGCCTTGTGTTCTCCCTCTGATCACTTGCTTATCTGGTGTTCTACCACATGAGCCACATTGCCAGCTGGCTTTTTGCTGGTTAATTGGAAATGGAAGTCTTACAGACTTTTCTGCCCCTGAGGAATTTAAATTGATATTCCCCCAGATCTCAACCTTCTGAGTAGGTAGTATTACAAGCCTGAGCTACTAGCCTCCAGCTCACCATTTCTCAATTACACAATATGTAGGAGAACTGAATTACAATATGGCTGGAGATATGAGATGATCTTGGGTAAAGAAGCACCTTTATCTTTATCAAGGTGTTTGTACTTCAGTAAAGTACAGAAATGGAATGATGATGTGATGGGATTTTCAGTTTAGTAGTAGATCTCTGCCTTACTGGGGCAAGCTGGAGCCAGAGAGACTGTTAGTGGGGGTGTCATGAGAACCCAGGTAAGAGGTGGGGGGACTTGAACTTGGGTATAGTCATGAGGAAAATGAAGCTAAGTGAGAAAATTGAAGTAGAAAGTTAGGGGTAGTACTGTGGAGTCCAAGATGGCTCTGTCCCTGGCTTGGGAGCAAATGGCTAGGGGAATTTTTATTGAACAAGGAAATTTGGAATGGGTCTGGATTGCAGGATGACGAGGTCTGCTGATTTTGAAGTTCAAGGGCAGTTGCCTGTGAGATACGGAGGTTTGGGGCTTTGCAAAGAGAATTGGACTCTATCTGGGACCATCAGCTTAGAAATTCTCACCAAGACTGTGGGAGCAGAGGGTCCCCCAGAAAAGAAGGAACATTGACAGAGACAAGAGACAAAGTATGGAGCAGCAACCTTGATGTTCTCAGGTCAGCCAGTGGAGACAAAGGCTAAGCAGGAGCAGCTGGAGAGGAAGGAGGAAATCTTGCACCCTCACAACCTCTGAGTGTGAGGAACTTGGAGAGTGGCTTTCTGGTCTGATTTTATGAGAGAAGAAACTAAAACTTGAGTTCAATGTTTAGCCTATCACAGAACAGTCCTTGGCCTAAGACTTCTAGCATGTCTACTTCTCCCCACCTCACACACCCCCATTTTCCTCTTGATCAATGTCTCTACTTCTGAGGTTTGTATAACATGAAGCACAGTCCTTTTAGAAGTGCAGTGTAAATGAAAACATTGACTGGCTCCAAAAGATTTGAACACAGCAAATGCTTTGTTGTTGGTTTTTGCAGTCATGCTGCTGGACCCAGGGCCTTGTGCATGCTAGCAATTACTCGAGCACATAGCTACATCTCTGGCTGCAAGCACAAGTTGTTTCCTTTTTCTTTTTGGTGCTAGTCCTGAGGCTTGACCTCAGGGCTTGAGCACTGTACCCGAGGGGTTTTTTTTTGTTGTTGTTGTTGTTTGCTCAAGGCTAGTGCTCTACCACTTAAGCCACAACTCCACTTCCAACTTTTTGGTAGTGGCTTTGAACTGTGAACCTCAGATCTCAGCCTCCTGATTAGGGAGGTGTGAGCCAATGGCTGCCTCCACGTACAAGTTTTGGTTGTTGAAGTTGGATTTAGGCAGGACTGGCATGGAGAAGATGTGACACGTGGAACTTTGGTCTTTCTCAGACAAAGCTGCCTTTTGGAGAGGGTTGCAGGACAAGATGAAGAAGAAATCATTTAATCCTCAGTACCTGAACCCCAGATCCTCTCTCTTGCACCCAGAACCAATATCACTGATATGCCCCTGACCTCCTTCCCCCATTAGGGCTTAGCACGGACTTAGACATCTTCCTTAGGTAGGCTGCCAAAGCAACCTGGATTGTTGCAGACCTTGGGAATATTAAGCCTTGGCCTACAAACCACCAGAAGATCTCCTGTGTTTATTATGATGAACCTTTTTTATTATAGAGACAGACTGAATTCTCTTTTGCATAAAGAATCTCTGGATTGGGTCGGGGGATTCACCATCTAAAGATTACCAGGCTGGCTCTCCCTGCCCCTGCCTCAGCTAAGTCCCTCAACCCCTCCCTTCCCCTTAGCCTGCTTGTTGACATCTCAGGGCCTCTGGAAACAGCAGAGGCAACCATTCCCAGGACCAGACTGACTGGGTCACACTGTGTTGATGGAGGGTCAGGGCTCCTGGCTGCTCATTGAGTCACAGCCGCCCTGTCCCCCGCCCTAGCCGGTTGTCTAGAACCTGAAGCTGACGAAGGAAGCCTGAGTTAGGGCAGATATCTCGGTGGGCCTGCACCGTCTGGATGGCCTCTACGAGCGTCATGTTCTCGCAGATCATGAGGAAGGCCAGGACAATTGTGGCAGATCGGCTCACTCCCATGGCACAGTGGACCAGCACACGACCTGTGGGGAGACCCAACCCAGCATTAGCCCCCAGCCTCACCTACCTCTTTTGGCCTTGGGGAAAGAGACATGTAGCCATCTCTGTCTGTGTATGTGTGTGTGTTTGTGTGCACACGTGTGCACGTGCACACACATGCATAGATTCTTCAACTTAGGGCCTGGGCACTGCCCTTGAGCATTTGTTTTGTTTTTGCTCAAGGCTAGAGCATTACCACTTGAGCCAGCAGCTCCACTTACAGCTTTTTTCTTTTTTTCTTTTTTTTTTTTTTTTGCAGTTAGTTGAGGATAAGAGTCTCACAGACTTTCCTTTGAACTGTGACCCTCAGATTTCAGCCTCCTGAGTGAGCTAGGAATGAGCCAACCAACCCCTGGCTTATAGCCATCTTTTTTAGCTAGCATCTTGGGAAACCTACACTGTCCTCATTCAGGTAGGCAAATGAGATGGACAGAGAGGAGACTGGCTTAAAGACAGTAAGAAGCAGCAGGATCGAGGTGAGAAACAGAATTCCCTTCTCTTGGTCTAGGCTGCTTCAGCTGATATCCTTTGGGATTGGGGACCAGATGGAAGGGGAGATTCCTGAACTCCTGGGGCCTCCTAGATTTGCATCAGATTACATGTCTACTTCCCTCCCTTCTTCACCTTCCCCTAGTACTGCTCCCCTTTTTCCCTCCCCCTGCATCCTGGGCCAGCCAGCTAGGGGTCTTTGCTAGGTTTTGTGCCTTCTGCCCACTGCCCTCTTCCTGCTGACCATCTGACATTGTTAGTTTCCAGGGTGTCCCCGAAGAGACACTAAATGGAAGAAGCTATTTGCCCCATAGGGTTGCTGACAGGGTTGGTGTTCTACACAACCCACCCATCCTAGCTCATTAGCATTCTCTGGCCCCACCCACCCACTGCCTTCCCAGCAGCTCACCTCGGGGAGAGCTGAGGGCAGCTCGGATGTGTTGAGCAGCAGGCAGAAAATAGACACTGAGGTCGAAGAAGGGGTTATCATCAGCTTCAATGCCATAGTACTCCAAGGGCAACCCACGGTAGAACTTGGCACCTGTGTCCACTTGAAACTTGCCTGCAGCAACATTCACAACGTGGGTGATGCCCAGCTGGACCAGCCGGTTCTTGTCCCGGGCAGCATACCTGAAGGAGGGGCATGAGAGGAATTATCAGGATCTCAGTGGTCAGCTCTGACTGGCTTGGACCTTGCCTGTCACCCCACTGTTCCTCTTGAAGGGTGGAGATTGGAACCAGTCAACTCTCTTGATAAAGGGGCTCCTCTAGGAACATTTGTTTTCAAGGGCAGTTTGCCTGTATTTACCAAAAGCTATAGAACACTACATGTACTGTGTGCTCCAACTATTCCTCAAGGAATAGAATCAAAGCATGACATCTACTCATGAGGCTGAGATCAGGCTCATACCTGTAATCCTAACTCCTGAGGAGGTGAACATTAGGACTGTGGCTTGAGACCAGTGCGGGTAAAATGTCCATCTCAACCAATAAAAAGCTGGATGTAATTATTGAGAAATAACTAAGCAATAAGGGCTGGGGGTATGGCTCAAGTGGTAGAGCACTTGCCTAGCCAAATGCAAGGCCCTGAGTTCAGACCCCAATCTTGCCTAAAAAATGATAATAAGTATGCCCACAGACATGCATAAAATGAATCAAGTGATATTTAAGACAGCTAAAAATCATAAAGTATGAACCTGTTAGTATCCTATGATAAAATATTAACCTTTCTCCAATGTTTTGTTTTTCACAGTTTCATTTACTCAAGCAATCATAGTCCAAAAATATTAAATGGAAAATTCTAGGAATAAACAAGTCATAAATTAAAATTGTTGACTATTGTGAGTGATGTGTTAGATTTTGCACTCTCCTGCTAAGCCATGCCCCGGATATGAGTCTTCCTGTTGTGTATAGTGTTCACTATGTATATTCTACTCCATTTTTTAGTCACTTAGAAGCCATTAGCTATCAGTTTAACTGTCATGGTAATGCAGTGTTCAAGTGATCCTTACTGAACAGAATAATCATTCTATTTTGTTACTCCCTTACCCTGTCTAATTTAGTTCATTATATTCTTTTTTTCTTTTGATGATGGTCCTTATGCTTGAACTAAGGGCCTGGGCACTGTTCCTGAGCTTTTGTGCTCAAGGTTAGTGCTCTACCACTTGAGCCCACAGCTCCACTTGCAGCTTTTTCAGTGGTTAATTGGAGATAAAAGTCTCACAAGCCAGGTGCTGGTAGCTCACTTCTATAATCCTAGCTATTCAGGTGGCTGAAATCTGAGGATCACACTTCAAGCACAGCACAGTCAGGAAAGTCTGTGAAACTCTTATCTCCAATTAATCACCAAAAAAATCTGGAAGTAGAGCTATGTCTCAAGTGGTAGAGCTCTACCCTTAAGCAAAAAGAATTCAGAGACAGCACCCAAGCCCTGATCTTAAGCCCAGGATAGACATACACACACTCACAAAAGTCTCATGGACTTTCCTGCCTGGACTGGCTTTGAACTGTGATCCTCAGATCTCAGCCTCCTGAGTAGTTAGGATTACAGGTGTGAGCCACCAGTGCCTGGCTAATTAAATTTTTAATAAGTATGTATGAATAGGTAGAACTTGGTACTCTCTTTCGTTTCAGGTATCCAATGAAGATCTTGTGACATACTTCCCACAGGTAAAGGGGAACACTGTATAGCTACATTTAGAAATACTCTGCAACCAATAAGATGTGGTTGGTAGATACAGGTAAACAAAGGAAGACCATTATGCTTATCAAGTACCTGTGAAACCACAAGCTACAGAATGTGTTGCTACAAACTTTTTTTAGATAAGGACATATAAGTCACTGGGATTACAGAAGGACCACCACATCAGATCTGTGATTCTTCCAATCTTGGCTTAAGTAGCAAAGATTACAGTCCTAAGTCACCAAGCCCACCCTCATCTGTGTTCTATTTCCACCATTAAAAGTGCTAATAATAGCCAGGCGCTGGTGACTCATGCCTGTGATCCTAGCTACTCCAGGAGGCTGAGATCTGAGGATTATGGTTCAAAGCCAGCTCTGGCAGGAAGAAAGTCTGTGAGACTCTTATCTCCAATAAAACACCAGAAAACCAGAAGTGGCTCAAGCGTAGAGCGCTTGCCTTGAGCTGAAGAGCTGAGGGACAGCGCCCCAGGCCCAGAGTTCAAGCCCCACGACTGACAAAAAAAAAAAAAGTGCCAATAATAGAAGAGGAAAGGAAAATGTGGAAAGAGATGGTGGGATGCAGAAGGTGTCATTTCTGTCTTTCAAGGTAGAGGCTGATGCTGCCATTCGCATGGAGACACCATGCCCCAAGATATTACTCACGCATCTCCCAAGAAGAGGTTAGGCCAGACCTCATTGATGTGATTGAGTGTGGAGGGTCGGCGGACCCACAGCAAGCGTTGCAGGGAGGCCAGTGTGGGTGGCTGGTAGAGGGTCCCCCGGATCTTCGACTTCTGCAGTGACTCCATCCTGGAACAGAGGGGACACTGCAGTGGCTTGGAGACAGGTACTCCAGGGCTGGTCCTGCTGACAGGGAGGCCCAGGATACTATTCCCAGGGGCCCCTGGGAAGGTGTGGGAAGGATTTCAGAGGTTATTCATCAGCTGAGCTGGGCTAAGACCTAAAACCTTCTCCTCAGCAACAAGGGAAACAGAACTCCCTGTTACTGCCATGACATTGGACAGATACCTCTCCAGCCCTTACCCAGGGCCACAGATGTTGAAAACTTTAGCTTTGGGACTTTAGGGTTCTCTGGTGGTAGTACTAGTCTAGATCTTAACCTTTAAGTGGCTGGTCAGTTGGGACTTTGTAGACATGGAAGCCCCAAATAACTAAGGCTGTCAAAGTCCCCCTACCTCAATCTGGGCAACTTATCTCAAGTCTTTTCCCCCCACGACTGTTTCCAGGACTAGTACCCAGGCCTCCAGCACTTCCCTTTTTCAGGTGCATGAGATCAGAGCCCCTCTCTGGGATACAGGCCAGTGGATATGAGCTTTGTTAACTTTTCTATCCTGAAGGAGCTGGTCTCCCTTCTCTAAGGCCTCCCTGTGGTATCCTTGTTTTATAGCTGGACACCGAAGTTCCAGGTTTCTTTTTTTTTTTTTTTTGGGTCCAGTCGTGGGGCTTGAACTCTGGGCCTGGGCACTGTCCCTCAGCTCTTCAGCTCAAGGCTAGCGCTCTACCACTTGAGCCACAATACCACTTCCGGCTTTTTTCTTTTTGCTTATGTGGTGCTGAGGAATCGAACCCAGGGCCTCAGGCATGCAAGGCAAGCGCTCTACCACTGAGCCACCTTCCCAGCCCCCAGGTTTCTTAAGTGACAACACAAGGTCATGTAACTGAGTAGGGCTGGGGTTTCAATCCAGTCCCCTAAGTCCTAGTTTCCTGCCCCAACATTTCACTTGCCATGTTTGGGGATTCCATAAAGCAGTCGCTAACAATTGTGTCTTCTCAGGGGGCCCCGGCTTAGCTGAGCTACACATCTTCCTCCAGGCCCTGGGCTTGTCCTTCTTACCCCCACGACTCAGGCCCATGTGGCTCCGTAGCCCTCACCCGGGTGGGGTGGGATATGTCTGGAGTCAGGTGACTCAGGGTATCCGAGACCTTGCAAGGCTGGGCTGGCAGTGGCACCAAAACCTGAGTCTGGTGCCGAGACTGGAAGGAAGGCTTGTCTTGGCCAACTGTCCCTGGTTCCCTCAACCAGTAACTAGGGAAACTACAAACTGGAAAGAACATCTTTTCCCTCTGGTAGGCAGTGCCAGGACCAGAAAGAGAAATGGGTACCCAGGAAGCCACCGGCTTGGCCAGGCTCACCCAGCATCGGGGGGCCGGTGAGCAGGGTGGAAGTGAAGATCCAGATTTTCCCTTCATCCCCCACTGTGACCTCTCAGGGCAGGCTAAATGGCCTGCCACCTAATTAGGGCATGGTCTAGGGGCTGGGAATGGGGGACTAGGTACAGGGACAGGACTAGCAGGTGAGCGGAACAGGGTTAGTCAGATTCTACCTAGAACACAGATGCTGTGAAGCGCTTAGAATTCCAGGTGATGACTATGGAGCCCTGTGGGGGTGGGGAACATACAGGGGTGGGAAGCCTGTAGAGATGGGGAGACCATAGAGGTAGGGGACTTCATAGGGTTTGAGGTGCCCATGGAGGCGATGTTAAGACCAGATCTAGGCTACTGTGGACTGAAGCAATGGGTCTTTCAAACCCTAGGCCCTCTCTCGCCTTGTCGTCTCTGTGGTAGAAGGCTTTTGACCAGTAACCCTCTGAAGATGGAGGAACTTTGAAGGGAGGGTGGAGACACTGGTTGTGTCCCTTGAGATTTCAGTCATAACTGATTCTGTGGCCAGGAGCAGGTCTTGGTCCCTGGCTAAGCCAGTTTCCCTTTCTTGATTAGCTAAATAAAGGTCATGGCTTTGCCTGATCTTCCATTCTCTTGGCTTCAGTCCCCAGCAAGAGAGAGATGTATCTGTTTGAAGTAAGGACAGGCAGAGGGCAATGGAGTTATGTTGTGAAAGGAAGTGAGGGAGAGGGGAGCTGTGGGAACCAGGGAAAGACAGAATCCAGGGAAGTCCTGCAGTCTCAGCTGGAACCAATAGATGGGGCCACACAAGCTTTCAGCTCAGGCTTGTTGAGCCTGTCATGGGGTAAGGCCGCCCCCTGGTGGCCAAGTAGATGCCATACACCCCAGTTATTCCTGGGAGCAGGCAGCTTGGCTCTGGCTGAGTACCCAATCCTGCTCTTTCCAGGGGGTTAGGGATGAGGAGCTGCCTCGGCTTCTTAGAAGACCTAGCACTGGTCTAGATAATGGAGCTTTTATTTGGACCTAGGAATACTCCTGGTCATGTCCCCTCAAGTCTCACTCCAGATGCTCACCCCAACCAACTGCTCTGGCCCATTGGGGTCACAGTCCACCTTGTCAATCAGACCCACCTACCCTGCAGCACTCAGGGAATGGGATTCTCAACTACAGCTCCTCTAGTTTCTACCACCCCTGGCCCTGACCTGCAGAGGGCCCTGTCTAAACTTTCGTATAGCCTCAGCAGGGTGAAGCTGGACCTTGATGTCCAGCAGGGTTAGGGCCCTGAGTGCTATACTCCCACTCATTCTGGTGCTGGCCTGCTCCCAGCTCTACCTTTCATTGACCCTGACCCTGCACTGCTGTTGCTTATAAGGACATACCCTTGCCTTCTGTCTCCATATGAGTTTCCTCTCTAGCTTGCTCTCCCTTTGCCTGTCTTCCCCATTCCCGACCCTCCACCCCCAAACATGACCTCCTGCCTGCCATTTTATCCTCAGGCCAACCCCAAGCCTCCAGGGTAGATGTTAGCCATCCACCTCAGCTGCAACTCCTAGAGACATTTTCCCAGCTGCCAGCCCTCTTTGTAGAGAGACACAGAACAGGCCAGGGTAGAGACCTCAGGGTAAGTAGTGAAGACACTGGGGAAATCTCCATAACAGTGACAGACAGGCAGCTGTCGGGTGGGTACTATGGTACAGTCTTGGAGGGGAAATGGTGTGAGTAAAATTCTCAGGTCTTCTGCTTGTGTCTATGTGGCCTTCTCTGACCTACTACCTTCCAAAATTCAAAATTTAAAGTGCTACCTACATGATCTCCCTCACGCTAGATGCCTGATAAATAGTGTGCTTTATTATCATCAACACCAGAATTGCTTTTACCCTTTCAAGCCTTGGCCATATTCCAGGTAAAGGGACACTTGCCTATGGGGTGAGGAGGTTTGGTCTGTATCTCCCAATGTTATATTGAGGTTTATTTCTCTAGCAGTAATTACAACATGCACCAAGCTGAGTGCTCATGGCTCATATTTGTAACTCTTACTACTTAGAAGGCTGAGATATGGAGACTCATGATTCAAGGCCAGCCCGGGAAAAAAAGTTTGTCGGATCATCTCCTAAGTAACAAAAAGCAGGATTGGAGGCATGGCTCAAGTAGTAGAGTGCCAGGCGAGGCCCTGAGTTCAAACCGCAATATCATATTTAAAAATTCAATTCTATCATGCATGTGTTTCTAATGCATTTATAAGACTATCTCTTTGTTGCTTTGTATGTCCCTCCCCCACAGTATAACCCCTGCTTTCACTATATTTGATGTCAGTATAACTTGTGGAGGAGAGGGGGAAAAAAAAGTTGTTTAAGGATACAGGTGGACCTGATGCAACAAAGAGAAGTATAAGTTGTCATGTCCAAAACGAGCTTTACAACGTCGGCCCGGGGGGGGGGGAAGGGGGGAAGGAGAAGGGTTGGGATTGGGGGGGAGGGGGGAGGCTGGGAAGGGATGTGAAGGGTAAACCAAAGGAGGAGGCTGCAATGCTTGGTAAGAAATGTACACATTATCCTGTCCATGTAATTGTAACCCCTCTGTACAGTATGTTCACAAATAAAAAATAAATAAATTTAAAAAAATTCAATTCTAAAAAATAAAAATAAATCAATTCTAGCTGGGTGCCCTGAAATCCTAGCTACTCAGGAGGCAGAGATCTGAGGATCACAGTTCAAAGCCAGCCTGGGCAGGAAAGTCCATGAGACTCTTTTTGAGCTCTCTACCATTTGAGTCACACTGCCACTTCTGGTTTTCTAGTGTTTTATTGGAGATAAGAGTCTCACAGACTTTCATGCCTGAGCTGGCTTTGAACCGTGATCCTCAGATCTCGGCCTCCTGAGTAGCTAGGATTACAGCCACCAGTGCTGGTCCATGAGACTCTTATCTCCAATTAGCCACCAGAAAACCAAAAGCGGTTCTGTGGCTCAAATGGTAAAGCACTCGCCTTGAGCTGAATTGCTCAGGGACAGCACCCAGGCCCAGAGTTAAAGCCCCATGACCAACCAAAAAAAAATCAATTATATTTGTTACCTATTGAGAAAATATATACTACATGTCAAACAAAGCTCAATGCTTATGTTTTCTCTTGGAATTTTCTCCCCCCCCCCTTTTTTTTGCCAGTCCTGGGGCTTGAATTCAGGGTCTGTTCTCAAGTCTACTACTCTACCACTTGAGCCACAGCACCATTTCTAGCTTTTTCTATTTATGTGGTACTGAGGAACTGAACCCAGGGCTTCATCCATTCTGGGCAAGCATTCTACCACTAAACCACATTTCCAGCCCTCTCTCTGAATTTTCACAGTGCTCTTATGAGGCATGTAATATCATCCCCATTTTATAGATGAGGAAATTGAAGCTCAGAGAGATTAAGCAATATGCTCAAGTTCACATGGCCAATCAGTATCAGAGTTAAGACTTACAGCAAGGTCTTTCTGACTCTCATGCTTCATCCATCCCTCTGCTTCTGAGTTATTTGTCCCCAACGCATTCTTCTCACTTGCCCATCACTTAAAGGTACACCCCATTACCCAACATGCTCAGGGACCCCTGAATTAGGAGCAATCACTCACCTGTGATGGTATCTGGCCCAGGCTGTGGTCTTTTCTGATGAGCAGTCTGGGCTGCCAGCGTCCAGCCGCCTGTGTCTGCACTCTTGATGCTGTTTCTATTTTTTGATTTGAGTTCAATTATAAAGCATGCTGTTTGCTCCCTCTCCCTTTTCATCCTCCCCCTGCCACTCCCAACTTGTCCACTGGTCCCGTATCATGGTCAGAGCCATGCTCAGCCAGGCACCTTCCCCAGGTCCAGGCTTCAGTCCTAGTCTTTCTGGGCATCAGCTCAGAGAGGTCTGCCAGGGGTATGTGTATCTTTAGATGTGGGCAGCTGGGCAGGAAGAAGAAAGATGAAGCCATCTTAAGATCCCTTTTGGTAGGCTGGGGTTTTAGCTCAGTGGTAGAGCACCTACTTGGCACCCATAAGGGCTTGGGTTTGATCTCAGCATTGAAAAATACATAAACCAGACAAACAGGCTCAAGCCTGTAATCCTAGCTACTCAGGAGGCTGAGATCTGAGGATTGTGGTTCAAAGCCAGCCCAGGCAGGAAAGACCATGAGACTCCTATCTCCAATAAACTACTAGGAAACCGGAAGTGGCGCTGTAGCTCAAGTGGTAGAGCGCTCGCCTTGAGCTGCACAGCTGAGGGACAGCGCCCAGGCCCAGAATTCAAGCCCCACATCCAACAAAAGAAAGAAAGAAAGAAAGAGAGAAAGAAAGAAAGAAAGAAAGGAAGGAAGGAAGGAAGGAAGGAAGGAAGGAAGGAAAGAAAATCTCCCTTGGTCTAGGCAACAGTGGCTCACACCTATTATAATCCTAACTGCTCAGGAGGCTGAGATCTGAAGATTCAAAGCCAGCCTGGGCAGGAAAGTTCATGAGATGCTTATCTCCAATTAACCACCAAAGATTAAGACATAGAGCTATGGATCAAGTTGGTAGAGTGCTAGTCTTAAGTGAAAAAAAACTCAAGGCCTGCATCTAGGCCTTGAATTCAAGCCCTAGTAATGGCACAAGAAAGGGATGGAAATGGAAATGGGAAAAGGAAGGGGAAAAGGGAGGAAGGGGAAAGGAGGAAAGGGAGAGGAAAAAGAAAGGAAGAGAGAGGGAGGGAAGGAGGGAGAAAAGGAAAGAAAGAGAGAGAGAAAAGGAAAAAAAGGAAAAGAAAAGAAACTCTCCCTTGGCCTTTGAGGGTTGTGCAGAGCCAGGGTTGAAAGTGAGAGTTGGATAGATCTATGGAGGGGGACTGAGAAACACCGAGTCCAGAGCATGCACAAACTGATGGCATGGGTAACACTGGTGTCACACTAGTCTCAGGGGCCCTTAGTTGGGGAATGAAGAAGACAGGATTGGCCAGAAATCAATATCAGTCAGACTTAGGTGGAAGGCAATGCAGCCAGGCACAAGTGGGTACAGAGCCAGACTTTAGACCAATGCCATTCTACAGTCAGAAGATTGGTCCAAGAACCAGTCTTATTTTGTGTCATGCTTTCTCCACTCAAGGATGCCAAGTCCCAGAATGATCCCTGACATCCCTGGCCAAGGCCCTACTCTCTCATGGGGCCAGGAAGCTGTTCTTTAAGGGCTCCCCAAGGCTGATTAGGATAGCTTAAAGATCTTGGATTCGGGCTTAGGAGAGTGGGGGAGGTGGTTGTGATCAATGGCTGTCAGAAGCATTTAAAATGCTCCTTCTAGGGAACAAGGGGATTCCCTAGCCAAGGGTTCTCAGGGGTTGGCTGAGAGGTCAGCTGACTCTCACCTGTGCAGACTGCAGACAGTGGCTGGGAGGAGTGGAAGGACACAGGAAGTGGATGGAGTAGTGGGCTCCAGAATGGGCCCCATGCCAGGCTCTCACTGTCTTCTGGGCATCCACTGGGGCCAGAGCCTCCAGCAGCATCAGCAGGGCCAGTCCCAGGGCGGCAGAGTGGCAGAGCCCTATGGCCAGGAATAAGGGCTGTCTCTGGAAGAGCGATAGAGTTTTTGTTATAAGCTCGTAAACAAAGGCCTAGGCTGGCTTTCACATAAATTAGCTTCTGCCTTGAATCCTGTTTGTAAAGTCAAGCAAGGGCATGTAGGTACAAGGAGAGATGAGGTAAGTTTGGTGTCCATGGTTTATGGAGGGAAAGATCCTCCCTCCACAGCCCCCTCATCTTTATCCCTGCTGGGTACAGCTGCATAGGCTGTGCATTGAACCACTCTTGGGAGCTCCAATGACACAATTGGTTGGATGGCACTTCCACAGGTTGTGCAATGCTGCAGCCGATGAATTACCAGTTGCCTGATGGGCAAGATGCTGAAGTCAGAGGTCAGGGTGTGTTAGGCTCCAGGCTAGGGAAATAGGGTGATTAGATATGATTAGAGATCTGCTGCTCTGCCAATTTTCTTAATCTGGTCCTGTGGAGACAGAGCAGGCTTAGGAACTTACCATTCCCAATGGGTACAGGTTCCCTCTTGGTCATTATACCAGAGAGCTTGCTCACCTATACCACAGGCCCAGCCTGTCTGGGCTTTTCCCTTAGTGGGAAGTGATGGTGGCCCAAAGCAGGTTGAAAGGCCCACCCCAACCCTTCTTCACTTTCCTCTTCTGTCTGGTGGGCTCGAGAGACACTAGGCAGGGGTCCTACCAGGCCCAAATGAGACCTCGGGTAGACTAAAGCTTGAGGAGTGGACCAGGAAGGAACCCTTTCTACCTTCACCTCCAGCCACACTCAACCCTGCCAGCCAAACCCATCACACATCCCCTGCCCAGGTTCTCAGCCAACTTCTCACTGCCAGCAGCACACAGCTTCACCTCCCTGTGTCCCTCCTTACCTGGCCCCTCAGCTCCGGCCTGTGGCCCGCAGTTGCTGGTCCAGCTGGCAGAGCTGTCGGAGAAAGCCACGGTTGGGGAAGATCCATCGGTGCTCCCTCACAGTGACCACTGCCTGGCGCAGGGACAGCTGCTGATACAGCATGAGGTAGGCCAGAACCAGGGTGGCAGAGCGGCTCACGCCTACTACACAGTGCACCAGGACCTTGGCTGAGGAAGAAGACATCACAGTGAAAGACCCACCCATTGGCTCGGGTGGAGACCCAAGTTCCATGGTTGACTCTGCCTTCAGTACACTCTGAGACCCTGAGCAAGTCACTTAGCTTTTCTGGGCCTCAGTTTCCTAGTTTCTCAAATAGGTAAACCATCACCTGTTTTGACTTATCTTGGGATGCAATCAGGACTCTGCATATGACCGAGCATCATCACCTCAGAGAACTCCCAGCCTTCGGCATGAGCAACACAGACTTGCCTTTGGTCCTTTGAAGCTGTCATGGTCCTTGACCTCTAGTCCTACCACATGCTATTCCTACTATCTGGTAAATGTTTCCCCTAGTCTGACTAACACTTCTACTACTAATCCATCAAATGGATTAAATCCTTCAGCCTGAGACATGGCTTCCTCCCACAGGCTTTCCTCACTGCTCATGTATCACTTGAATCACAGAGCAGCTCTTCATTTTTACATATGGCTTAAGTGGAAATTGCTAAGAGGGAAGTCCCTGTATCCCTGTCTCTCTGATCCTCTGGGCTGTGTTCCTGTAGCACATGTGTTCACATGAGCCCTCTCATATCAGTACCACCATTATACAATATGACTGGCAAGTTCCATGAGGGTTAAGGTTAAGTCTGGATTCCCAGAATTTAGTTTAGTGGCCTGGCACACAGAAGCTACTCAATAAGCCAGACGCTGATGGCTCACACCTGTAATCATAGCTACTTAGGAGGCTGAGAGCTGAGGACTGCAATTCAAAGCCAGCCTAGGCAGGAAAGTCCCCATGTGACTCTTATCCCCAATTAACCACCAGAAAATAGGAAGTGATACTGTGGCTCAAAGAGGTAGAGCTCTAGGCTTGAGCAAAAATGCTCAAGGGCCAAGGCACTGTCCCTGAATTCAAGTCCCACAACCAGCAAAAACAACAACAAAAAGAAGATCCTCAATAAATAGCTGATGGTTGAGAACAAAATGGATGAGAACAAAAAAGATGCCAAATTGTTTTGGATGTGAAGCAACATGAGTTATAGTCTTCTTATTTCCATCATGTGGAGGAAGAAACAAGTCCAGAGAAGGATATTGGCTTATCCAAGGTCATGTACTAAGGGCACAGTTGTCATCCAGGATGAACACAAACCAGGAGTTCCTGGCTCCTTGATGGTACCTGGGGTATTTAATTTCCTTGCTTTTTTTCATTTGTAAGTACCTTGGGGCAAACATGTGGGTATCAAATGGTGATTCTGCAAGCCTGAGTGAAGCAATGAAAGAATTGCTCTGCTCTTTGGGAGATTTAGCTTCCAGTCCCAAGGCTGTCCCAAATTTATGATGTTATTTCAGCCTGTTTCTACAACTGGAAAGCAATGGGATTAGATAAAAAGCTGGAGCATAGGTCTAAAGCTGGTGGCTCATGCCTATAATACTCAAGAGGCTGATATTCAAGTATTGTGGTTCAAAGCCAACCTGGACAGAAAAATCCAAGAGACTCTTACCTCCAATTAACCAGCAATGTAAACAGAAATTGGATCTGTGGCTTAAGTAGTAGAGCATCAGCCTGGAGTAAAATAACCAAGTGCATGAGGCCCTGAGTTCAAGCCCCAGAATTGACACAAAGCTGGAGCACTGAGTGGAGGGCTTTAAGGACCAGGGACAGGAGAACCCGGATGACTGATTGAAAACAGAACATCTTCCCCACTAATGAGAAGGATCTTACCCCCAGGTGTGTTGAGGGCACGGTGGATGAAGTCAGCTGCAGAGGAGAAGTAGGTGCTGATGTCGAAGTCAGGGAGGTCGTGAGCTGGCACCCCCAGGTAACTCACACTGCTGCCATAGAAGTCGGGGCCCCCCTGACAATAGAGGCCCCCATGGGCAGCATTCAGCACATGGGTGATACCCAACTTCCACAGCTCAAAGCGGTTGTTTGCAGTGGCCCTGGGGAGGACAGGAAGGGCGCTGGATGCTGGCTGATCAGTAGGGTCCAGGAAGGAAGCTTTGCTTCCTCTCTGCTTTGGGAGTATGAAACTGGAAGGGTCCAAATGAAGCTAGAATCTGGCAATCCCCAACTGGGGTTTGTAGGCCACAGCTCTACCCCCAGAGCTTTCTGGTGGGAAGGGGTTATCTCTAGACCCTCTGCTCCCTCAGATGCTCTATCTCCAGCCCAGAGAAAAGGGATTGTTTCAGCCCTGGGACAGGGCTGCCCCACCCTTTTTGCCCTATGCCATCCCACACATATCCCACATGCAGCCTCTGCTGGTCACCACCTCATACCTGACTCTAATCTGCAAATATTTAGAGGTAACACCTTCTCTGATTCACCTGCAGTCATGCTTCTCCACCCACTCTATCAGGAAGACGAAGGCTAGGACCAGAAAGTGGAGGGATGGATCTTGGTCTATCCTCATCTCCTACCCTAAGTACTATTTCCTAACCTCTATCCCACCGATTAGCTCATTGTCCTGGATAAGCTAGAAGATTCCAGGGACTTTGGGGACTCTCTGCAAAAATCCTGTCCCCCTAGTGGCTGAACCTGGTCATTGAGTCTGGGGTGTAAGAGTCCTGGAGAAAATCTGGCCATGGGAGTCTCTAAATAGAAAAATTATCCCTTCTTCTCACATACGCCTATGCCCAGAAAAGAGCTTAAGGGCCACTTCTCTTTCATCTCACCCCATACCTCAGTGCCAGCGACTACTCACGCATCTCCTATGAAAAGATTGGGCCAAACTTCATTTACTCGGCTGCAAGAGGCCTTCCCCGCTCTCAAGAGCTCCTCTAGCTGCAGGACACTGGGACAAGGAGTGGCTTCCAAGTCTTCCCTTGGCTCTGGGAGCGAGGCTTCAGCCATGGGCCAGTCTGCTCACCCCTCTACCTCTGTGGTCATTCCTCTCTGCTTCTCCAGTGTCATTCCCCTTCTCAGAGATTGGCAGGAGCAGGTGGGACAGGAGCAAGTGACTCAGCAAGTACCAGGGGCCTCCCGAGAGGACAAGACCTGTTTTTCTCAAGCCAGTTCCATCTCCAAACTCCCTGAGAACCTGTGTTATACAGAAATTTGATCAGCAAGATACACAGAAGTCATACCTTGAGAGGTCAAATCAGAAGTTTTTATTAGAAAGCCAAGAACTGCAAGTGGACTCATAACCCCTAAACCTTGCAGCCTTGTATGCAGTTAATACAAAGCTTATAAAGGCAAAAATCACATGATCGGTATGAGAAACTACACCTAACAAAATTGTATTTTACAGAAGCAAAGCAAACTATCTGGAGGGAACAATTAGGGCACTCAAGGGCCAGTTATCTAAAGGAACAATCAAAGACAACCAAGGACAAGTACACTCTGGAGCAAAATTTTCCTGGAGCTAAACAACTGACACATCTGCCATTCAACAAATGACCTATATCACCTCTATAGTTCTCAGAAAGTCACCATCATCTATGAAGATGTCAAGATCGTAGTCAGGACAAGACTATGATGAGGACAAGATGGTGTTACTTAGATCCAGTATCCATATTTCACCTGGAATCAGAACCTTGAATGTTGCTACCTTGATAAACCTCAGTTTCTTCATCTGTAGAGTAAGGTTAATCATACCATCACCAGATGATGAGGGAGGCTGTTCCTCAGCTTCCCCATTTCCACACAAAAGCACAGGGCCTTGAGATCCACACATGAATTTCAACAAGGAATCCCACAAAAAAACGTCTCACTAGGTGCCCATGGCTCACACCTGTAATCCTAGCTACTCAGGAGGCTGAGATCTGAGGATCGTGGTTTGAAGCCAGCCTAGGAAGAAAAGTCTCCATGAGACTCCTATCTCCAACTAAACACTCAAAAACTGGAAGTGGTGCTATGGCTCAAAGTTGTAGAGCATTTACCTTGAGCAAAAAAGAGCTCAGTGCCCAGCCCCTTGAGTTCAAGCCCCATGACCAACACAAAAAAGAGTCTCATAAGGTGAAAAGTTTTGGCAAGGATTTGTTTTAGTGTAGTCAAGTAGTAAGAAACAGAGACACTTCCTGCATACACTGATCTACATGCAGGAAATGGGAGTTCAAAACTCAAAACTGGCAGGTTTCATATGTTGTCTTCAAGCACTCTACCACTGAGCCATCTTCCCAGCCCCATCTTTATTTTGTTTTTAAGGTGAATTGACCCTCACAGAAGCAGATGGGATGTAGTGACTCCTGACACTATCCCCTTGAGGATTTCAGCACCAGCTATAAGGGTTGTTGAAAAGAGACTGCCACACAGTTAAGGCAGAAGTGAGTTTATTGGAAGGGTCAAACTTCTGGGCTGCCCTCTAGGGTAAGTTGTAGGGAAGGGTAAGAAGGCCATGTAACTATAGAGGATAAAGAAGTAACCTCAAAGCCAGAGGTTGGGGGGGAGGGGTTGGGGTAGGGGGGGTGTCCTTTCGCTGACTCACAGTCAGGTGATTGACAGTTACAGGTGATTACTGGTTTTCTACAGGTGATTTCTGGTAAGGTTACCTGCTGTCCTTCAGGAAGAGGAATGTTGGGGGTGGGGTGGGGGTGAGGGGGGTGACTGTTCTCCTGGGCAGGCCTAACATGTATACCATTGGCTCTTTTGCTATTATTAGAAATGCACGACTCTCCAGTTTGAGAAATGAATGGACACACGAGATATAGGAGATTTCATCAAGGTGATTTCCTTTTATGCAAAAAGGTGCAATACCATTACTCTACCCAGAGCTAGGCAAACACACCATGCAGGGCAGTTCATTAGGTTTTTTTAAATCCCAAACCAAACTGTTAAGGAGTTATGTTCACATTCTAAGTATAGTTGATTACCAAAGTTAGAAAGGGGGCCAATTCCTTAATTCCTATCAAAAGTTTGTTTTTTTCTTATGTAACAATTACAGTTTATGATTTTACCTTCTCCAAGGCAAGCTTTATCTACTAACATGGGTAGCTGGTAACAAGTAACACACTTAGCAAATACCATTTATTATTTTAACCTTTTCAACACAAAACTTCTCTTCCTAGCATGGCTAACTAGTAACAAGCAGTACAGACAATAACTACAATTGAAGTAAATAAAGCAACCAGGAAATATCAATGAACTTACACTTTAGTTTGACAGAAAAGAATACTTTTTTTCTCACAATATTTGTTAAAAATGTAATTTTCCTGCCTCATCTATCCTGACTCAACATCTGTCTGAGAATTGTTGTGAGGGTTAACAAAACAAAGAATTTTTGGTGTCTGTTAAAGGTGAGAAACTTCTGGTTCATGGGCCTAATAAGGTCCTTTGGACAGCCTTGTATCATTTGCTTTTTTGCCTTTTGGGCTGGTCAAAGCCATCTTGCTATATTGACCTCTGAGAATGATGTTACAAATATCGAAATGGCCCTGGGCAGTGTTGAACTATGGTTTATGAAACCAGAGTTTTCAGCCCTAGGCTTATCTCCAGAGGTACCACATGTCAGGTTCAGCCATTCACCCCAACACACTAAATAAAGAGACAAATCACGTAAAGGGCAGAGAAAGGAAGTTTACTATATGTCCTGGGCCCACTAACAGAAAAAGCAAAGTAAGCACTCAAACCCATCTTCCAAGCACAAGCATGAGCTTTAGGTTTAAATAGCCAAAGAATTTGGGGGCTGAAGTGAAAGATATGTAATTATTAAACAATCCTGGGTCAAACTGTGGACTGGTTGTACATTATCTCAGTCCTGGTAGGTGTTTTGGAGAAGTTGTTAAGTAATCTGGTCAGGATAAGCAAGTCATCATTTCCTGTCTATTCCTCTGCTATTCTTTTTCTTTTTCTTTTTCTTTTTGGGGGGTCCAGTTGTGGGGCCTGAACTCTGGGCCTGGGTGCTGTCCCTCAGCTCTTCAGCTCAAGGCTAGCGCTCTACCACTTGAGCCACAGCGCCACTTCCAGCTTTTTTTCTTTTTGCTTATGTGGTGCTGAGGAATCGAACCCAGGGCCTCATGCATGCAAGGCAAGCGCTCTACCACTGAGCCACCTTCCCAGCCCTGCTATTCTTTTTCTAGGGGTAGTTTACTCCATTCTAAATTGTAAAGCTGTTACCAAGCAGCCCTGTGTTTCCTGCATTTCAAGGTGAATGGTTCAGATCAAAAGAAAGATAAAAAAAATGACATTGTGAAAATATCACAATGAAATCACCTTTATAACTAATGTACACTATTAAAACAAAAAGCAAAACTGAAAAATGCTAGGCTTTTCTTCTGCTTTCCGTTATTTTTTGGGTCTAAGAGAGGAATTCATGGCTTTCTACAAAAGCAGTTTCTGAGTATCTCTTATATTTAGACCCTACAAAGGCAATTTGGAGCTGGGCGCCAGTGGCTCAAGCCTGTAATCCTAGCTACTTAGAAGGCTGAGATCTGAGGATTAAGGTTCAAAGCCAGCCCAGGCAAGAAAGTCCTTGAGACTCTTATCTCCAATAAACCACTAGAAAACTGGAAGTGGTGCTGTGGCTCAAGTGGTAGAGCACTAACCTTGAGCTGAAGAGCTGAGGGACAGCGCCCAGGCCCAGAGTTCAAGCCCTACAACTAAATAAATAAATAAAAGGCAATTTGGTTCTGAGGACTGAGTTAAAACAGAGATCCAAAGTGGAGAAGTAGCTGGCTCCAAGGATGAATGACAGAAAAAACTTGCCAGGTCTGGGTGTTTCACAAACTCACGGGGGGCAGAATGGGGACTGGATGTTTGTTGGATGAATATTTGGATTACATAGCTCAGGGGAAGTTTTCAGAGTTTAAAAGCCAGAGAAATGTAGGGAGAGACATGGAAGAAAACATCTAAAAGGTTCCATATGTTTGTAGGGGAAGGTTTGAACATTGGCCCTTATAATGACGTCTTATATCTCAAAAGAGAAGGCTGAGGGTGCTTTATATATCAAATAAAAGAGGAGAGCACCGACAATAAATTTTGAGCTGGGCGCCGGTGGCTCATGCCTGTAATCCTAGCTACTCAGGAGGCTGAGATATGAGGATCACGGTTCAAAGCCAGCCCGGGCAAGAAAGTCTGTGAGACTCTCCAATAAACCACTAGAAAACCGGAAATGCTGCTGTGGCTCAAGCGGTAGAGCGCTCACCTTGAGCTGAAGAGTGCAGGGACAGCGCCCAGGCCCAGAGTTCAAGCCCTACGACCGACCAAAAAAAATTAAATAAATAAATAAATAAATAAAATTTGAGATCCCAAAGGCCTGACATCAGAAATGTTTTCAGGGTGGGAGGGAGATGCTTCTGCCTATAAAAGCTTTTGTTCTCTTCTTGTTGCAATGGGAACTCAGTCCTGAGAAACAGAAAAGCCACCTCCCAATTTTGAGAGGTCAAATTGGGGGAGTCTTTATTAGAGAGCCAGTGACCACAGGTGCTCTTGTCACAAAGACCTATAGCACCTCTAATATACTTAACACTATCAGGAGCAACTGAAGGAAAAAAAGGTGGAGTAGTCCGTCTGCCAGAGATCATTATCAGCAAAAAAGACTCTCATTCTCTCACTTGACTTCATAGAGGCCCTCGAAGGGCCCAGAGATGTGAACCTCAGTTTGCAGGCTTCCCCACTGTACAGCTTGAGGGGAAAGACCCCAGGTCATCCCTACCTTCCTCAGAACCATCTCCCACCTCATCCAGATCCACTAAAGTTGATCCTGCCCTGCTTAGGGAGATAGTCAAGAATGGCCTCTGTCTGTGGACTTGGGTTTCTGACAGTGCCCAGCCTGGGTTGGGAGAATATCTTTACTGGTTGAGTAGATTTGAAGAATGCAAACCTTAGGTTCTCACGGTAGAGTTGGGTTGCAATACTAGCTTGGTCACATATTAACTGTGATCTGTCAGGCAGTATGCTTCTTGATCTTACTGAATTATCTACTTTGTAGGGTTGAAAGAGATACAAAGCATTGGGCATAGGCACTGGTAGGGTCAAGGGGCAGCAAATGTTAATAATAATCATTGGTGATTGGCTCTTGAAGAGAAGCTAGCTCCTTCCGAAGGAATCAGAATAACCTTTTCCTAGGCCCTAGCACCATTTACCAATTCTGTGGCTCTGTGACCCCTTTATTCTTCTTCAGGGTAGACATCTGGTTTGACGCATGCGCCCTAGTACGTTTCTTCCCCGGTTGCTTCCCTGCCATCCCCCCCCTCCACCCCCCCACCACCGCTCGGTTTTCCCCAGTTCTCTCAGGCAGTTTGGAGCCGAGTCCCTTCCGGTCTTTGCCCCGCCCCTTTGCCCCTAAGCCTCTCCTCCCGAAGCAGTTCCGGTCCGGCCCCAGCAGCTGCCTGGCGCGGCGCTGACGGGATTGGAGCTGTGCCGGCGCGGCTCTGACGGCGTTGGCGCAATGCCGGCGCGCGGCCGCCTCCGTCCCCGCCCCCGCCGGCCCTCGGGCTCCCCGCCCCGGGCTCCGCCCCCGCCGCTGGAGGCGCTGCGCTCCTCCGAGGAGGGCTCCGCCCCCGCCGCTGGAGGCGCTGCGCTCCTCCGAGGAGCCCCGGACCCCCGACTCCGACGGCGCCTCGGACGCCTCGGACGCGGACCCTGTGCTGGGTCCCCGGAGCCCTTCTCCCGCCGCGGAGGTGAGCGGGAGCCGGGACTGAGGCGGGGGGGGGGTCCGGGGTGGAGCCGGTCGGGCCGGGGGAGACGGTTGCGGGAGCCCCGAATCCGCTTAGAACGGAATCTGTAGCCTGTGGAGGTGGTTGAGCTGACGGCCTGGGGACAGACGACGCCGAGGGCGCAAGAGAGGGGCGAGGGTCCGCAGGGACGGAGGGGTCGGACGCGGCCTGGGGCGTTTGCGAGCCGCGCAGAGAGGGAAGGTCGGGGGTCCACGGGAGTCCGGACCCTGACGGGGAAATGCTCTGAGCCGTGGCGGTGGGAGTGAGGGCGGGCCCGGGACCGGTGCTGGCCTCAAGGCTTGGGGTCGTCTCGGAACCGGGGATGGGGATGGGTGGTGGTTGGGGTGGGCAAGGATTTGGGGTGATTGGAAGGAGGAGTGGCTGCGGGATGGGAAGAAGCCTGCCTAAAGGGTTGAGAAGCAATGAAAAAGAGAAATATGGGCAAGAGAGAAAAATTAGATCCCAAACGGGATCTAATTTAGGACCTTGGGCATTTTCAAGGCGTGATAGATTACTAGGATTCAGTGCTTAGACGATAGGGCTTTCTTGTTCGTGAACCGGTGGATCATTTTAAGAATCCGGAGTACGAGGAGCCGTGTTCATCGCTGATTTGCCTACAGGAATGTGGGGAGTAGTACAGAGGAAGTGAGATTTGAAGAAGGTGGCGTGATTTTGAAAATAAAAGATGTCATTCAGATTTCTTCTAAGAATGTACTCTTTGGTTGTGCCTTCTTAAATAAGTTTAAGTATTAGACACGTTTAAATCTGGAAAAGATCTTGCGTATTTCCTTTAAGTTTTAAAAGTTAGGCCGGGTGCCAGTGGTTCAGGCCTATAATCCCAGCTGCTCAGGAGCTGAGCTCTGAGGATCCCGGTTCGAAGCCAGCCCGGGCAAGAAAGTATGTGGGACTCCTATCTCCAATAAACTACTCAGAAAAAGCCTAAGTGGCACTGTGGCTCAAGTGGTAGAGCCCTAGCCTTGAGCACAAATAGGCTCAGGGACAGCGCCCAGGCCCTGAGTTCAAGCCCCAGGACCGGCAAAAAAATTAAAAGTTAAACTGGAGACCAAGCACAGTGGCTCACACCCATAATCCTTGGGAGTCAGAGATTTGTAGGATCTCTGAGTCCAGTCAAGCAAAAAGTTCAAGAGACCATCTGAATTGCAAAGCTGGGCCTAGTGTCATGCCCCTGTCATTCCAGATACATCTGGGAAGCAAAAATGGGATTGCAGTCCAGGCCAGTGTGTGTGTGTGTGTGGGATAACAATGAGAGTCTATTTGAAAACAAAACAAAAAGCCTGATACCTGCCTAACAAGTGCAAGCCCAATCCATATATCCATAACCCCAAGTTCAAATGATTGAAATGAATTTTGGCATACAAATGATGGTGATTCCTCCCAGTTTGAGATGACACATATATATAGCCACTGGGTAAAAGTATGGTCAGTGCTGGATTAAGAGGGCACGCAAATCTAGAATGGAAAACACTGCCCTCCAAGAGTTTGCCAGAACTTCCTCTCACAGATCAAGATGAACAAATGCAGTATTGGTACTCACTAGACAGTATGTTGAAAATGAACTATACAACTTGGGGTGGGGACCAGAGGGAAAAACCGGGAGAGACCTCTGAGAGAAAGGGCAATATTGTCCAAAAAGAAATATACTCATTTCTTGACTTCTGTAACTCTAATCCCTCTGTAATCACCCTTACAATGCCTATTTTAAAAAGTACATACACAGGGCTGGGAAGGTGGCTCTCAGTAGTAGAATGCTTGCCTTGCATGCATGAGGCCCTGGGTTCAATTCCTTAGCACCACATAAGCAGAAAAAGCTGACAGTGGTATCAGCACCACTGTCAAGTGGTAGCCTTGAGCTGAAGAGCTGAGGGGACAGCGCCCAGGCCCAGAGTTCAAGTCCCCATGACCAACAAACAACAAAAAAAAAGTATGTACACACACACACCACACACACAAAAGTTTGAGAGACATTGACAAGACCAGTATTCAAGTGCTATTTTGTAGGTTTTATATGAATATTTTTAGTAAAGTAATGTAGTTTGGAGCAAAAAGAATGGGGACAGATGAGTACACTGTTGCTTTTTATAGAAAACACAGTACCCAAACCGTAAGTGTGCAAGAAAAATAGTGATTGCAAAATTTTATGTTCACTAATAGAAAGAAGATAATTTCCTTTTGTAGTTGTTGAATTATAATACCTTGACTCCATGAAGACTTCAGCCACATCTCATAACTTTTACAACTTTTTAATCTCATTATAAATTTGGTCATCTCAAAACAAACTTTTAATCAAGTGCTTTGTAATCTAAGTATTTACTGTTTAATCTTCATAAGATGATAATATATTGATTGCAAGCAGCTATTAAATTAGTTTATGTAACTAGACTATCATGATATTGGGTTAGAGGAGAGGTGACTTCTTAGCTTTGTTTTTTGAAGTTGTCAAAAGGTTAACTTCCCTTCCTTAATCAATGTCTTTGGTTGAAGAAGTTCACGTAGTATCACTGCTTATGTTTCTGCTTTTTTATCACTGGAATGCCATACTTAGCTCTATATGTTGGCATGAAATACTAAGACTCTATTAAGGTAACATCTTAGTGTTACTGCAAAATTAAAGACAGAACTGTTAATAGATTAGCAGGTCTAATGATTATCACATTTTCATTTCCCTTTGTCAGTTCTCAAGGGTTCTTTTTTTTTTTTTTTTTTTTTGGGGCTTGAACTCTGGGCTTGGGCGCTGTCCTTCAGCTCAAGGCGAGCACTCTACCATTTGAGCTACAGCGCTACTTCAGGTTTTATGGTGGTTTATTGGAGCTAGGAGTCTCACGGTCTTTCCTGCCCGGGCTGGCTTTGAACCGAGATCCTCAGATCTCAGCCTCCTGAGTAGCTAGCACTACAGGCGTGAGCCACCAGCACCCGGCTTCAAGGGTTCTTAATAAAAAAGATAATCCATATTATTATAAAGTACATTTTGTAAGGCAGAAGCAGCCATTACAACTATAATGACAGAACTTGTGGAAACACAAAAGTTGGTTTAGATGTCAGTAGCATACTCTTCAGTCTGCATAGACTTATTCACTCCATAGTTGGTTGTAAACCCCTTTCTTTTGGTTTTCATGTTTTTTCATGGTTTTATTTTTAATTGGAATTTGAGCACTGTTTTTGAGAAACTTAAAACGTGAATATTTGAATAATATTTTTAAAATTTTTATAAAGGTATAAAGAGGTTTTACATAAGTCAGGCAATGACTGCATTTCTTTTTGGACAATATCACTCCTTCCCTTGTTTTCACCCAGTTTTTCCCTCCCGTCCTACTTACAAGTTGTAAAGTTGATTTTCAACAGTGTCTAGTGGGTACTACTGCTGCATTTGTTCACCCTTTGTCCTTCCATTTCTGTGTCCCCTCTTATTCTCCAAAGACATATCAATGAACAAACAAGACAAAAAAGAAAGGAAAAATAACAATTAAGAAATAACCTGGGCTGGGAAGGTGGCTCAGTGGTAGAGTGCCTGCCTTGCATGCATGAGTCCCTGGGTTCGATTCCTCAGCATCACATAAGCAGAAAAAGCCGGAAGTGGGGCTGAGGCTCAGGTGGTAGAGTGCTGGTCTACAGCTGAAGAGCTGGGGGACAGCACCCAGGCCCAGAGTTCAGGCCCCACAACTGACAAAAAAAAAAAAAAAAAGAACCTTGCCAGGCGCCAGTGGCTCAAACCTGTAATCCTAGCTACTCAGGAGGCTGAATCTCAGGATCATGGTTCAAAGCCAGCCTAGGCAGGAAAATCCGTGAGACTCTTATCTTCAGTAAACCACCAGAAAAGCATAAGTGGCACTGTGGCTTAAGTGGTAGAGTGCTTGCCTTGAGCTGAAGAGCTGATGGACAGCTCCCAGGCCCAGAGAGTTCTAGCCCTATGACCAACCAAAGAAATACAAATAAAACCCTTGTTTCCATTTCCTGGAGTTCATTTCGATAAATATTTTATATACTTTGATTTCACTGTGTATGAGTCCTATATAATTTCTCATGTCCCCAGGGCTGTAATATTATTACTTTGTCTTATAATAATGCTCTATTAGGCTGAGAATGTAACTCAGTAGTAAAATAGCATGCAAGAGGTTCTGTGTTCTGTTTCCAGTACTTGGGGAGGGAGAGGTATGTTAACTAGCTATTACTTTAAGATTTTATTCTGTGGATGTGGGTCTGTGTGCTCATGCACTCAATTCTAGGGCTTGAACTCTAGGCCTTCCACTCTCATACAATTTTTTTTTTTTTTTTTTGCCTCTAGCACTCTACCATTTGAGCTATACATCCAGCTAATTGTTGGGTAATTGGAGATTAGAGTCTTTCAGATTTGTTTTCCCAGGCTAGCTTCAAACTTAGTTCAAGGTTTTTATTTCCAAGCCTGATGTAAAATGTAATGTTAGTAGTTGGGTACCTAGCATGGTCATTAACTAAAAGATGGAAGTGTTTCCTGTCTTACATTTCTACCCTTGAAAGCAAAATCTAGCACACATTCTTTTGTTTCCTTCCAAACTCAAACCCACTATATTATCATAGTAGGAAATGGAATATGAAGACTTGAGCCAGTTTATAGTTTTCCATTATGTGGTTGGGTTTTAGGGATGTAAGATTATTTAAAAATAATAATTTTACCCATCATTATGTCAGACTGCTTAGCCTACTCATTGAAGTAAGCATTAGAATTTTGTAGACTTTTTTTTTTTTTGTTCGTTGAGGGGCTTGAACTCTGGGCTTGGGCGCTATCCCCGTGCTCTTAAACCCAAGGTGAGAGCTCTACTGCTTGAGCTACAGCGCCACTTCCGGTTTTCTAGTGGTTTATTGGAGATAAGAGTCTCACAGACTTTCATGCCCGGGCTGGCTTTGAACTGCGATCCTCAGACCTCAGCCTCTTAAGTAGCTAGGATTACAGGTGTGAGCCACCGACGCCT